AAATTTGTATTTATTTCATTCTGTGGAGCTCACACCAAAGTCAAAGGACTGTGGATGTGTGATCAGTTCCTTGAGTCCCTGTTAATGCACAGATCCCTCTCTGTTTACTCTGGCTGTTAAATTATTTCTCAGATGTTGATTTTCTTTGTTAGTGAAGTGTTGTGTCAGCATTGGGGAGTGTTCTGGTCGAAGCCATTATCATTCTGCTGTAGGAGAAAAAAATGCTCTGGCTTGTTTGTGTTTTCTTTTTTTAACCAATCACAATTCTCCTGGGTGGCACTTAATCCAGGACGCAGCGATAATGCATCTAGAAGATGTCGGGGAGAAACTTGATTTGGTGCAATCATAGACTGAATATAAAGATGGACAACACGTCTCCACTTCCTCCTCTGGAGCCAGAGTCTACGCTGTAGTGATCGGGGGATGGAGCTGCGGTCTTGAGGTTCTGCTCTCGACCAATCATGAGTTAGTCTCAGCTGTCACTCATGACTTTCACGCTGTTTCTATAGCATCAATTAACAAATCAAAACAGATTTACTGGCAACATGATCTTAACTTTTTAGTTTGGCACATCCATTAACACGGAGGAGGCAGGGTTGTAGCCAGCCACCAGACTGCAATTTGCCTAGTCATGTCGTCCATCTTTATATTTCCTCAAATCAAACAAAAGAGAAGTGGAAGGGGAGGAGAATTACGTCTAAAATAAGTGACCAAAGGCCGGCTTGTACCCGCGGCCTTACGTCCGGTGAGTCAGACGAGCGGAGTGTCAGCTTGTGCTATAACTGTGTCAAAGTAATATTTGCACAAAGATGCGGTTGTAGTGCTGTAGAGCTGTCGTTGATTGATTGGAAGGGAATTTTTTCGAGGAGGGAGCAGGTTTTGACACAGTTCGTTACATAATGTCACTGGTTTAGGTGGTTTTCACCAAACATAGAGGCAGTTTTGTTGGTTTTAAAACCTGACGTGCAGAGGGAGCAGCTCTCTACCATCATTAAAAATGTTACTGTTATCATAACATGCCAGTTACGTAACATTAAAGATGCTTTCAGCTCAGTATCTGGTGCTTTGATTTTGCACTCAACAATTGCCTGCAGCGGCCACAGCATCAAAGTCTTTTTAGATGGAAATTTGAATGAGGTAAAAACACGGACGTGGTGAAGACATGGATAAGTGACATTATATGTGTGTGTCTGTGTGTTTGTGTGTTTGTGTGTGTGCATATTGTGTATCACAGCTCTGGAAAAACACTGCTTAAACTTACAGTTGATTGTGTTACACTGTTAATCCTAACTGTAGTTTCTGGCCTGAGGCATGTTTGAAAAATGTTATAGTGTCAGCTGCAGTGTGTGTGTCTGTGTGTGTCTGTGTGTGTGTGTGCGGATTCAAAGTAAAAGCACAAGAGTTGACAACCCTGCAGACCTGAAAGATAAAGTGAACCGATGCTCCAGATGGAAACATAAATAACAAGATGAAAAGAGGGATTCTTTGAGTTTCTGTCATAATGAATAATAATTACCACGGAGACTCGGCACAAAGAAACCTGACAGTGAGACAGATATTTTGTAGTGATTAATACTTCCTCCATTGAAAAACACTTGCTCACCTGGCAGCTCTTGCTCTTATCCTGGAAGACAGACGGTATATAGAGAAAGGACCCGTGCTGCTCTTCAGGTGAATTGATATTGTTCTCACATAATATAAATCAATGGAGGGCTCGGAGGGCTCCTGCGTCATTAAATGGCTTTGTGGAAACTTAGCAGGGAGTGAGCCCTGCACGACTCTACCAGGTGCTGCAGAAAAGTGCACCCCATGGAAAATGTTGACTTTTCTTCAACATGTTTGAACAGGCAAACATTTGATCCTCAGAAATGTTCGCTATTAATAAAAGTGATATACTTCAACAAACGACAGAAAAAATGTAGCTGTACAAAACAGATCAGTCACATGGAAAACTTAAAATATATATATATTCAAATATAAACACCCTGATAACCTATAGAAATCTATAAAATTAGAGTCCAGATGAGAAGACAAAGATCAGAGCCTCCTTACAGGGAGTGCTTGTCTCACTCAAACCTCTGGCATCAAGGCTACGGTGCTATTAATGTGTGAGGTGTCATCCTGCCAAGATCTAGAACCTTTATTTGAAAAAGGTTTGGATGCTCATGAGTCTGACAAATATCCAAATATTTGAAATAAATCATTTCAAAAGATTGCACTTTTTCCAAAACTAGATCGTCAGATGCAAAACGAAGTTTTCAGTGCAGGATCTGCAGGTGACTTGCATCTGTTGGAGTCAGATTCCACAAAATTAACCTGCAAACAACGTCTCAGTCCAAAAAAGAATTTACTTAAAGCAAGATACAGTGAACATCACCAGGCCTTCCGTGCTCTGGACAGATCATACATTGAGTTATCATGTTCTGCGAAGAGCGAAGCAGCTTTTCAGAAGAAGAACGAGATCAGATCTGTGCAGCAGAGTGGTGGAATTTCATGGTTTTGGGTTGTTTGGCTGTCTCTTGAATGCCAAGTTCTGTCAAAGAGTGTTTGAAGATAAAGTGAGGCCAACAGTGCAAAGTGAAGTGGAACCTTTCAACAGCCCAGTGTTGAGGTTCAAAATCTATTATAATCAGATATTGAATGTGTTCTTTTGACATGTTTTGCATGTCTCATATTTATATGCTTAACCCTGACTTAGACATTTTAAATAACACTGGGGATGGATTTATTTTCTTTCTTTTTATATTTCCTTGCACTATTGTATTATTATCCTTAAATTTAAGCGTTGCATGTTATTTATATTACTTACTGATGCCTATGTGTGACTCTTGCTGCTGTAATATTGCAATTTCCCTCATTGTGGGACTAATTAAGGATTATCTTATCTTTGTTTTTTCAAAACTTAAAGCAAACAAGGTTATGTTTTCATCTTGGTTGGTTTGTTTGTTATTTTGTTAGTTTTCAGGATTAAGTAAAACCTACTGCTCGTGTTACCATGAAACTTGGAACTCATTAAATCTTGGTATGGATCAGGATTACGAAGCAGATCCATTGTTAACATTGTGAGAAAAGATTTTCAACCTTATGTTGATTTCTCTGAGAATAATTCATAGATCTTGATGAAAATGGACACGTTCAGGGGACTGATATTTACTGAATTTAAATGATTTCATTAGTATTGTATTATACACAGTGTTAAATGTGCCACATATCACAAAATAATCCCCCAAATAAAAGGAAACGTCTTCTTGGCTCATGCACTCTGCAAGTAATTTTCATTCAAGTGAGTTGGCGACATTTCTGAGTCTATTTTCCGTGTCTTTGCCACTTGGTTTACATCATTACCGGTTCTGAAGGCTGAAAAAAACCAAATAATGAGTAGTCAGTAATAGAGCTACTGCAAAATAATAACATAGATTGTCAAGTTCCACATCTGCAATTGTCACTTTTAAAGATTTCACTCAGTTTTTTTTACTTATTCTTCATTTATTGTTGTTGCAGCATCAGCTCATAACGAATCTGTGCCTGAGCCGACCTGGCTGCAAAGACTCAGCCTTATTAAACCAACCTTGATTCAGACCCTTAACAGTTTTCACACAGTCATCAAGTATCACTGGAACATCTGCAAACCTTTTAGTGAAATGTTAAACTTAGCAGGATGCGTCTTACTGGACTCTACGTCTAACGTCTGACCTTGCAGCTCTGTGCTCCTCCAGGACAAATCCCAGCGTTAATAAACTGCGATCGTGATGTTTCCACTGCGTTTGCCCAAAGGTGTTGTCATAGCCGTATTAGATTCGGTTTTGTGATACAAATTTTCCACAGTGTTTTTGTGAACGCTGCCCTGTCATTGTCCTGCTTCCCATCGCAGCAGCAGAGTCCGTGTCCTCCAGGAACAGGCAGATGTAGTCAATGTACTAAGCTCAGGGGTTTAGATCGCAGGTCATTTCCCAGTGGGATCAGCCGGCTCCTGCAGAGGGTTTGTGATAAGAGTGGATACTGGAAGCTATGTAAACCTTGTTAAGCTGCCCTTCCCCTGTGTGCAGGGGGGTAATCCCAAACACCTGGGCTAGTTAACTGGGATTTGGTGGGATTAGGGGCTCCATGAGGCAAACCTGATCATAGTTCTTCTTGTTAAATCCATTTTCATTCTTACCGTTTCACACTCTCTGTTTTTTTTTTAAATTTCAAATGCAATCCAGCAGTGACACGACAGTTAACTTTCATACTATTCTGTCTCTGTCCACATCAGATATTCAGGGCGAGCAGCTGTAGAATTCAGTGTAAGTAGGTTTGGTTATTCTTTGAACTTCTCACCGCACATTATACTTATAGTTTGGAATCAGTGCTGCTGGAGAAAATGTGATTTTTCACAGTTTGATTGGTTTATAGCCCTGTGCACACTGTGGCACGGTGTCAGTCTGTCGGTCGGTCCCCTACTTTGCCCCAGACGGAAATATTTCAACTATTTCATGAATGACTCGACCGTGACATTTTATACAGACGTTGTCCACAGGATGAATCATATTGCCTTTTGTGATCCCCTGACTTTTCATGTAGTGCCGCACTGACACTAACATTTTCTGTCTTATTGAAACGTCTGAACACACATCTCATAGATTGCCATGAAATTCAATACATACACTTGCGTTCCCCTTTGTAGGAATTGGATTTTTGCTCTAGTGGCACCATCAGAATTTCAATTTGTCCAATGTGTTTTGACCAGATACTGAAAATGAATGAGCCTCAGTTCCACTTAGGTTTAATGCACATTTTCACCATGTTTTTAATCTTGCTTTGATTTTAGTCCAATGAAAGCTGTTTGTCAAAAGCCAATTCCAGGAACTTTATATTTTTAATTATTGTTTCTGGACAGTGATTCACTTATTAAATTGAGTGGCTCAAGTCCATGTTTGACTTTGAGAAAATCAATAAAATGTGACTCCAGCATGAAGACAGCATTTTTAACCAACCACCCCTTCCTCTTCCCTTCTCTCTAGATGTGGACGAGTGTGCAGAGGCACTTGACAACTGCAGCATCGATGCCATCTGCCAGAACACCCTGAAGTCATACAAATGTATCTGCAAGTCGGGCTATAAAGGGGACGGCAAACATTGTGAAGGTAAAAGAGTGACGGGATTAATGTGCTTGTTTCCTCCTGTGGTTGGAGGCACGAACGTCTGCTGGGTTTTTACCGTACGCTGATGTAAAACCACATTTCTAGTGTTGATTTTTTTCATATCTCTGTGAACGTAAGCCCCTGGGCCAGTGACAGGCGCGATAAGAGCCTGTGTCTCACTCAACACAACTTATTAGCTTTAAGACTCTTAAAAAGGGAGGAGGAGATGAGGGAGCGAGTGGCGGAAGGAGAAAGGGGAAAGCCAGGTGCAGAATGCTCCTTTGTGACAAGATGAAATGAAGCAGTAAATTTCCTGCACATGTTAGAGGAGAGAATTAAGATAGCGGCTGAAACGGCAGTCAGAGGCCCTGCCAAGCAGTCAGAGATATTTCCACAGCCAGAGGCAGGCCTCGTAGACTGTCAGACACAAATCTGTTTTTCTTGCCTCGTTCAATGTGCCCAAAACCTCCGGATCATTATATCCCACAATTTTTATTAGTATTATTACAAAACCATATTTCTCAATGTCATTTTTTTCCCCCACTATTATTATTCTTTCATTTACTTGACCGAGTGTTTTTCATGGCCTTCTGCCCGTAGGTTATAAAAAGTTTGCTTTATTGAGTCTTTTGTAAAATATATGCAAGGTTGGGTTTCCATTGAACTGAAGGTTAGCTGATGGCTCCTCGAGACTGATATGCTTGTTGAAAATTTCAAGAGCTGCGCTGATAAAATGAGAAAGAAACACAAAAAGTGTTTAAGTAACTGTTGATGGTTTTAACAGCAAGCTGTCTGTCGAAATAAAATGTTAACAAAAAGGTCTGTGTGCTGCGGGCGGACACCAGTTTGTGTTAAAAAAAAGGATGAAGACAGTGAAAGAAGGAAAAGTTCTTATTTTCCAGGTTGTAAGGAGCTGTTATGTCTCAAATCTCTGTCTCTGCAGCCTATGATTCAGATTAGAGCTTTAAGTGTTAGTGATTTTAACTAAAGGCTTTGATCAGTGTAGCTGTGGGCCTGTCTGTATGAGTTGAAGTATGATGTGTCATTACACAGAACAGTGTAGATTTATCGTCCACTCTTCAGTTCTTTTGTGCAGAAAGTGAAAAAAAACACAATATATAATAATAATAATGATAAATAAACTCCTTAATCTCCTGAATCATATTTAAATGAAATTTAAAGGTAATTTTATTTCGTATTTATCATTTTGTATTTATTTTAAGTATGAAACTTTTCACTCTCAATTGCTTTTTTGAGTAAGTTTAAACGACACAATTATAATTTGAACTGATACTAGATTTTTTTTAAATGCAATATTGAATCTAAAATGATTGAGGCTTAGAATTAAACTATATACAAACTTCAATAATAGAAGCATCTCTTATGTGAATATAAAGTTGACATAGACGAGCTGTGAAATAAAAACAAATTCAAAGCTGCCGGAGGAGAATAATGTCTGCATTAACACGGTGGGTGTTTCAGCTTTAGAGTGGGGTCGGACATTGACGGGTGACTGTGCGCTGTGATGGAGGAGTGACAGAGATGTGTGGGAAGAAGTAGAGAGGCAGGAGCTGCAGAGTGTTGCTTTGTTGCGTTCCCATCCATCTGCTGTCAAGTCCAATTAAGTCCCAGGGTGAGACGGGCTCAGAAAGGAGCCCAACCACTGGGATCATCGGCCCTAAAAGGACCAGTAAGTGCTGAGTGGAAGTGCGCTGTGTTCTCAATCCGCCTTGTCTGGGTCTCTTTAGTATGGGCCCCCCCACCCATCATCATAACCATAACAGACAACTCCACTCAGGCTGTCATAGCGATCTGCAGCCTCTCTTTATCTTTCTGCCTCTGCTCTTTCTTTTGTGCATCACTTTCCCTCAGTTTCAGTGACCAGGACAGATGAACTTCAGGGTAACATTGATTTATCTGTCTGATGCCTGTTATTAAGTATTGGCTGCCAGTCAGTCTGTAATGTCAGCCATGTCAATACTGTCGGTGCTAATTTAATGGAAATTCCTCTCTGATGAAACATATTAAACACAAACTATACTTTCCCTTTTATTTCTAATAATCCACAAATGTGTTCTATATAAATAATTTCTATAATTTATTGGATACAGTCTGTGTTAACATAAAGAATGAATGTCTTGGTGGGAAAACACTCAGATTTTTGACTGTTAAATATGGCATAAATACTTGGTTATCATTATTAGGAATTAAAAATAAAACAATAAGCTCTGGCAACATCAGCAACAAGTGAACTTACAAATTTCAACATCTGTGGTCCCTGGTTTTCATATTTGCTCTCTCGAGAGATCGAACAAAACAGACTATTTCTGTAAAACTGCACCGAATAAATAAACTGAGCTCAGATTTTTAATGGATATTTCAGTAAATGTTCAGATCAATAGTGCTCTTGGCGGGTTGGTTAGCCTAGCTTAGCACCAAGACCAAAAACAGCGATCACCTAGCAACAATTCATCTACCAACATCTGTAAAGCTCACATATCTCTGTTTTAATGTAATATAACAACACTAGAACATAATGTATTATTAAAGTGACAGTTTGTGGCTCCCAAAAGTGAAGCCAAATACTATTGATTGCCTCCTAGTGGCTGACAGCAGTATAGGTTATAGTCCCCATCGCCTGTCATTTTATCAAACTTATGTATGTGTCAATGTAAATTTTTCAGAAAAGTTTGCTCAGTTGTTATCGTTATTATTATTATTTATCATCTAACAACAAAGTAAAAATGTGCATTTCTCATATTCTCAATCTTTTCATCAAAGTCCTGCATGAATCTTGGTTGTTTCAAGTTGTGTAAGTAGATGCTCACATCCTTGTGTATCTTCTCTCTGCAGATGTGGACGAGTGTGCAACTGAGTACAATGGCGGCTGTGTCCATGAGTGCATCAACATCCCAGGAAATTACAGGTGCACATGCTATGATGGCTTTCGCTTGGCACATGACGGGCACAATTGTCTCGGTGAGTATGTGATGTGCAGCCGTATAATGAGTGTGTGAGTGTGAGGGGCTGTTTCCCCCCCTATGTCTTCTGCAGCTGGGTTAATTATGCAGGAACGTGTCGTTATAAAAGGCTTTTTGTCAGGAGAACGTATACTTTAAACTGCAGGTGTCAAAATCCAAACTCCACCTGACATCACCCATGTGGTTGCATAAATTCTTCACTCTGCACGTCTCATGTCACATCATGGATGGTAATGTATGTTTCAGGGTTGAATTGGACTCTTATTAGGCCGCGGCTTCACATATTAGCCATTTCCTAGTTTCATGTTGCAGGTAGTCTCCGGGGTGTTTTCGTTAAACGTGAAAAAAGAGACGTTTTGTGTAATATATCTGAAGAAAGAGGGTGAGCTTGACCCTGAGCTGTGAGCTCAGAGTGAGCCGTCAGCCGACCGTACTTTCCCATGGTTTAATATTTCACCAGTGTGCCATTCATATAGCTTCACAGAGAACATGTTACACTTAAAAAGGAGATGAAATGAAGGGAACGAAAACAGCGCTCTTCCTGCGGCCGGGAGCTGCTAAACATAGACATCATCCTCCCCCACCACCCGGTTCTGTCAATCTCGCTGCTTGTCCCCCATCCACCCACCTTTCATTCCTTCTGTAATGATTCCCTCCAAGTCAGACCCTGCCGCTCCTCCGAAATCATCCTTCACACATGCACTGAACTCCACACTTTCTCCGGAGGAGGTGATAACGCAATCTTCAGAGTGCAGAGCCTCCGGTTTATCTGCGGACTTTCTCCTTCTGGCCTCCGAGTGGGGGGGGGGGTTCATGACAAATATCTCAGTGTGAAAAAGCTGAGACGTACATGTAGAAGACACGACGAAGATGCAGTGGAATGATGCACCACCCCTTACCTTACCTTAATGCTGCAGAGATTTTGTTGCGGTTGTGAACATGTCTGTGCAGAGACCCACCCGCTGGACTTCCACAGGTCATGTCTGAAAAAGGTTTTAGACACTGAAAGCAGGCGAACCCCGGTCGCTGCTGTGAGTTGGTTGCAGAGGAAAGTAGCAGGCCGCTTCAGCGAATTTCACATTCAGGTGAAGCGATGACAGAAAAAAACTTGTCAGCACTTAACAATGATTCACTGCCAAAGAGCCTTTACACGCACAAGGCAACAGTCATATCAGTCCCGCAGTTACTTGATGAAGTGAATGTAATGCTGGGATTAAGGCACACTGGAATGGAAAACACACGTCTTTAGATCGATAATAATAAACCTGTTCTGACTCGACGATGCGCCCGCTTTCTCTTTCTTTCGCCCCTTCTGATATTTCTCTCGCTTCATCCCTTTCCTTCTCTCTCTCCTGCTCCTGTGTAAGAGTAAAGCAGGGCTATTTTCCAAACCATTTAACAATGGCGCTCAGTTGTGCGTGGATCATTTGCTTCACCGTGGATCGGCTCTGGCCTTGCGTGCAGGTGTGTAATCGCAATATATTGTTGTGTGGCTGCCGCTGTTGCATCAAAGAGTTGCATCCATTGATCACTTTGATATCATTTGTCATTGTGAAACACACGATCAAACACGGAGAGAGGTTTTTATTCTTGTTCTGCTCCGTGCGAGAGCGCACAGACGTCCCTGGAAGGTTTCTCTTGTATGCCTGTAAAGATATCCATTCAATTATTTATTCAATGACAAAATATGTCTTTCATTTCAGCGCAGCAGATGGAGCATAATGCTAAACGATATATACAGTATATGCAGCTGTCAACTACAAATCCTACTATTGCCTTGAGACTCGAAAGGACTCTAAAGACTTAATTTTCTTGAGAATTTAACTTATTCGAATGCCCCTGCGCTGCTCAGCTAAGGAAATAATGCCCAGCACAAACACAAGAGAAGAGAGGAAGAGGTTGAGCCGGGGTTTAATGTTAAGGCCCCAGCTTCCTCTTCCAGGTTTAAGCTCCTTTTTGGCCCCTGAGAAAAGATTATTCCCCTTGGTCGTGGAGTGGAGAGCCTAAGCGGCTGGTTCCCAGACAAGGTCAAACCCTCAGAGCCCTTAAAGACCAGATGTGCCCGAGGCTGCGGAGAAGGAGACATTCACCTGATCCTAAAAAGTTCACTCTGAGTTTAGAGTCTAAGATCTTTAAAGTGTTTCTCTTTAGATTTACCCCATGTTGTTTTTCCACCAAGCTCCGGTTATGTAGTTTTATTTCCTCAGCTCTTCAGGTTAATATTGCAGTATAAATTCTCAGTAGTGGAACATAACTTCCTGCTCTCAGCCCTCTGAGGCCTTTTTTTAGCCAGTCGGCACCCTGCGTCGGGAGGCTGTCAGCTCAGTGACACGAGCTCGGCTGGTGCACATGCATCCCCGTCCATGTCGCCTTTGTTTGCTCGCTGTCACGCGTGCCGCACAGCTCCTTGTAATTGGATGTGTTGGCAGCATAATGACATTGGGCGGTGGCAGGAGGCGGCAGAGCGTGAAGCAGAACGCTGCCTCATGCGCCTCACTGGGGATGCTCTGGCTTCTGGGGTCTCCCCTGTCTGCCCTAAAACCCCACAACAATGTCAGGGAGTCAGGAAGGTGGAAGCGATGCAATATCACAGCACACTGCTCCTGTCTGCGCCGAGTGAGATGTCACTCACTGTATAATTTACCTCACAGGGAGCTTTTGTACCCTCTCTAAACTCACACATAAGAGAGGAAGTGAAGCATATAAGAAGTTGATTACATCTTTTATAACTGTCATTACTGTTATCTTGAGGGTGAGGGTGGGATGGCATTTAATCACCGCACTTCTTTCATGGCGAGGCTGTAAAGGGTTTTTCGAGTCTTAGGAAAAACAGAGGAATCAATGTCAATTTAATCCAAAACACACATCCTCTTTTCAATGAAAACCAGATGCAGGAAGGCTATTAGTTCCCCACTGCAGCACCCCCGTCCCCACATTTATGACCTACGTGTTTTGGTTGAGGTCCGACAGAAACCCAAATACCCTCTTATCATTACTAGTTCGTTAAACTCTCTCAAGTAGCTTAATATCATTAGCATCTGCGCAAATACTCCCCCAGTCCTCATAACCACAAATCACAACATTGCACTTCTATCTGGAGCAACAGAGATATTTCCACTTTGTTTCCACTTTATATACATAAAGTGGAAATGCCACAATAACACGCAGCCTTAATGTGACTCTGGGAGAGACAAAGGCAGGCTCCAAATGGACAATACAGATGTTCCACAGAGAGCCACCACGCTGTAAAAGATGAGCTTATTTCATTGAAACGTTTACTTACCTTATTTCATCCATTCATCACATGTTGCTCGCTGTAACCAGGGAAGTGGTCACACACACACACACACACACACACACACACACACACACACACACACACAGCTCAAAAGTCCATGTTTCTTTGATTCCTATTGACCAACAGTGATTTGGTTTGTATTGATTCAGCAGAGCTCAATTCCCCATGCAATCTATAGGGAAATGAATGCCCTTTTACTTTCACCTTCCCAAAAGACGTAACGTGATCTATAACACAAAAGCAATGTCACTGCAGCTTTGAAATGAGCTTTTGAAGAACAGCCTTGAAGCAGAGGAAAGAAAAAGGTCAGATCTGTTGACAGTCTTTAGTCTTTAATTTCTCTAATTGTAAAGAAATGTTGTTTATGTGCAAATCACTTTGAAAGATTCCCTCAGACTGTTTGATGATAGATGAAGCGTTTCCATCAGACATGTGTGTCTCTCTAAGTCGTCGCCCTCGGAGCCTGTACCCACGCTCTCGTTGTCCTTTGGGGTCTTGTTGCCACATTGGCTAATCAAACAGGAGGTGTCAGACTGATGTATTATTGACCAGGTTCTGATGGGAAAAAGTGGCCATCAAAGAGCGTCACGCTGATTTGCTCTGCAGCCTTTTAAAAGCATTCCTTTTAAATGTGTCGAGGCAGTGGTGATAACCTCTGCACCCCTCGCTCCAGTCAAAAATATCTGATCCCAGCCTGGATGAGGTGCCCTTAACTTCCACCTCTGACTCCTGATTATGTAGGATTTAGTCGGGACAATGATGATTAACTCCTGTTACAGCCAGAGGGGCTCAGGGTTTGCACAGACACTCCTCACTTCCCTTAATACAAATGAAAACATGCATGGATCAGGTTCGGACACGAGTGTCTCTCCACAGTTCAGAGGAGAGGAGCCGGAGTGATGAGTTAGATTTCAGATCGGTGCATTAGCCGTCTCCTGAATGCTGTCTCACTGTCTCGCTCCTCTCAGGATTCTTCAGTCCTGTGCACCATGAAATGAACAATTCCAGCTGCGCCCACTGGCAGGGCTTTGGGGGAAACTGAAGCCTGAGATTGCGTTCAGGGATGTAAGCATGCAGCAGACTGGGAGCCATCAGACGTCAGCACAGGGCCTCTTCTCTGCTTGGCATAGGGCTGTCCACCCAAACACTTATCCTGGGGTTTTGTTATTAAAATACTTCCAGACTTGTTTTGGAGGAACAGAGAAATGCCATTTAGCATGATCTTAGCTCATAGCTTTTCATTTAGGAAAGAACTCAGCAAGAGATTGGACGCAGAGTCTGTGCTTATTTACCAAAGTGGTTACCTGGGAGACGGGCCTGAAGTCGAACAAGCCTGAGTTCAATCAAAGTGAAATGAGCTTTGTTTATGTAAAAGCATAAAATCCAACCTTGCTGCTGGTGTAAGAATAAAACGCTACAGATTTTTTCTATGCAGACGCTTAGCAGATGTGAATCAGTTGTATTAGACTCAGTTATTCAGGCCGACAGGAAGTACAGGAGCTAATAAATCCAATAAATCTACACTTAAGTGTTTTGATACTTCAGCTTTCAGCCTGTAAGAGTCGCTCACACTCTCACACAGGATTTAAGAGAGTGTGCGTCTTCTGCAGGTGAAAGTTCACGACATCTTGCAATGCATTATTTTATACAAGCTCAGCTGACAGTTTGTTAACACAAGTCCATTTCCAGCCTCACTCTCATGCAGGTTCAGGGTTCAAACCCGGCGCCCTGCTCTCTATTCAGTGAAGTGGCTGAAAAAGCTGCACCGTCACTGAACTCCAGAAGCGACGGAGAGAAAGAGGAAATTGTGTAATCCTGTTTAAAATAAGAGAGGATCTTGTTTTAATTGAAGCTGGCTGTGTATGTGCCACTCCTTACTCACTGATGCTGAGAGAAGCCAGAAATCCCCCCCCCACCTCACCAGCCAGCCGCTCCGCTCCCTGTCACTGCACATGGCTCCGATTTGCTGCCTTATTAAAGAGTGCGCGCCTCCTCAACTCCTGTAAATGAAATGCCCAAAGAGGTCGGAGTCCGTCCACTCACTTCCTCGTCTCTGGGCCGTCTAGACGACAGAGACTTTTCTGTCTGAATCACACAGAAAGCGAGCAGTGGGATGGATGCATGGACAGCTTTGATGACAGACAGCAGCAGTTTTTCACCCCCCCCCCCCCCCCCGCAAAAAAAAAAACCTCTGGGGCCAATAAATGCCCCCAAAGTTGCTCAAGCTTTTAGAAATAAAGGAGAGCAGTCGAGCATTTCTCCAATATATGTTCAGGAGTTTCTGCAAGGCAACCACCGTGTTTACTTGGCTCTAAAGCTCCGCACAAGGCCAAATGTTATATATACAGTCAAGGCTATCTGAGAAACCAGCGGACATGGCCTCTGCAAACACAACCAATCTCTTAATCTCTCTCCGTTTGAACCTTTTACTTTTTCCCTTCGTCTCCCCGAGTAAAGCAAGGATAGAGCAGAGACGCGTCTCATTTTTCTGAAGTGAGGCAGCTCTTTTAACTTGATTAAGACACTTTTTTCCCCCATCCTCTCAAGAGAATTTTTTAAATATGTTTTAAGTCCAAATAACATGAGCACTTCTTCTGGCCAATGCCAGAGCCCCTTTCCGCTTGGAAATATTTGTTTTGGACGCCAGCCTTGCCCAGCACACAACACAGGCAATTATGGAAGCTATTTAAACAGGAGAAATCTACTGACAGGAGACGCCTCATTTGAATGGGTGAAGGAATCAGGAAATGAAACCTCCATTGATGCGCTGAGGGCCTGGAAAGAGAATTCCCCCAGGGCGGCTGAAGCTGGTCACATATCTCATGGGCATTTCGTGCATGCATTGAGGACTTGTGTATTTGTGTACAGCATTGACATGTTTGGGGTTAATGTGTGTGTGTTGCATTTCCCTTTTTTTGGGCTCCTGTGAACAGTTTATCTGCAAAGGTGCAGGCGTAGGTTGCCGGCAGCTTTCATCAGCTCAGAGGTCTCTGCTCTGTTGCTGCCACTTTCATGGTGGAGAGATGAAACCATTGGGTCAACACCAAAGCTGCCGCACAGTTGAATGAAAGTCTGACCAACATTTTCTATTTCTACACTTCACACTCCCTTTGCTGGCTGCAGAGTGACGCTTTACCCCGTCGACCTCAGCTGACATGACGCATTGTTTTTCGAGGGACGAGACAGTTTTGCTCGTGGAATGCGAGAGGAGAGGAGACTTGGCAAACTGATGGGGGTCATGAGTGCTACCTGCCAGTGACCTACTTATCACCCCCCAGAGGTTTCTGTCTAATCAGGTGCCATTTTTTTGTGTGTGTGCGTGTTTTGAGACGTGGTGGATCCACGTTTGTCTGAATTTCTGTGGAAAAAGAAGAAAGGACAGAGCAACGTTTAACTTCTAACTTTGCTGGGCTGAGAATTCCCCAGAAATGAAACTTGATCTCCAGGCCGTCTCAGACTGGACAAATAGACAGTAAATTAGTTTCGCATGATGGTTTATTAAAAAAAAAAAAAAAAAGTCTTGTGTATACAGCAGATTATTGATGCATCGAGCTGAGGGATGGATAAGGTTCCAGTGTGGTCGGTGGTGAGGGACAGAGCCCAGGTCTCCGGGGGGAAGCCTCACAGCGTAGTCATGCACAACAGAGGCCGCCAAGCTCTGCAGCACGACATACCCCATGAAAGCTGCAAAAAAATCCTTTCATTTTTAAAAGGTTTTTGAAAAGATTAATGGATGTTCATTTGCTTCTTTTGTCAAGTCCCACACTGACTTGGAACAGGAAAAAGTTTTAGTAGAGAACACCTGGATGTGCACAATTCATTATGAGTGGAAATGAAGTCAGCAGCTCTCGTTTGTGGCCAGTTTCCCTGTCGTTCCCTGTGGGAGAACAAGGCCTGAGGCGACACCTTTGTAAACACTCTGCTTCCGTATGCAGTTGTTGAGGTGGATTCATATGATTGCTTGTTACCTTGCACACCCCCACTAACCCCCCTAATACGCTCCCTTCTTTCCAATCTCGACTTTTTCTCTTTCTCCTTCTCATCATCCTCCTCCTTCCTCCCTCTCCTTGCATTCCTCCCGTCATGGGGCTGACAGACACTCGTCATCAGCAGGTACTCTGACCCAAGGTGGATCAGGTTCCCCTCTTGCCAGGGGATTGTGCTGCATGTGCATTTTTATGGCTTAGTGCTGCACAGTTGGAGGTTTTTAGTGCACCTCTGGTCGGCTGCCATTTCTGATAACCATTAAGACAGACATGGCCTTCTCAGACGGCTTAAGACAAACTCCTCTGGCTTTTCAAAATATCCAAACACTTTTTTTTTCCTGCCGTGCGTTTTCTGTTTGTGTGACATTTGAAATCATAGCTCCACCTCTGCTTATTTTGCCAAATAAATGACAATGTACAATAGAAACACAGGATCCATTTTCAAATTTGTAATACAGAGCAGGTTTACAGCCATGCTATCCACGTGTCTTAAGGAGTGAGGATTTTAGTCAGTTTGTCCAACGCTGTTTTTATTTTGTAAACAAGCTCAATCAAGTTGCATGAAATTTCTGGTTTTGAATGGGTTCTCTCTTGGCTCATGTCCAATCCGTTCACCAAGTTTTGTGGAAATCAGTTCAGTAGTAATCCTGCTGACAAACAAACAGACAAGCAGATATGGGCAAAAACATAACGTCCTTGGCCGAGGGGAAAAATGTTAAATATGACACAGTCTCACAAGTTACTGTGCTGTTGGTTCAGGAAATTGTATTTTTCTAAACAATCATTTTTCCTGTATTTAGTAGGTTACATTCCCTAATGTCATTATACTTGTAAATGAACAGAATATAGATATATATATATGCATTCCTATAAACCGTGGCAGTTTTTGATTTACAGCTCTAAATGGGTCTTGATTTGATTGCAGACAACCATCAGACAAACAGTTTTCCATGTAGTATTTGTTCTGTCATGAAAGTGATGTTATTAATTTTGAATTTATGTCGGTCTCCTGGCAGATGTGGATGAGTGCTCGGAAGGCAACGGCGGATGCCAGCAGATTTGTGTCAACATGATGGGCAGCTATGAGTGCCGCTGCAGAGAAGGATTCCTCCTCAGTGACAACCAGCACACCTGCATCCAGAGGCCTAAAGGTTAAACACATGCACACACACATGCACAGTTGCATGCACACTCACGCACTGTTTATTCATGGAGAATAGCAGGACACATGTCACGTAGTGGTGGTGACTTCAGGTTGAATGTAAAGCATGTGGTGGAATATCTGTAATGTAATATTTGGATCTGCAGGTTTGAGTTGTGTAGATTTAAACTCTGGGAGCGACCATAACAGGCGTCCATGAAAGGCGAGCAAAGGTAAGTGTCTCCAGACTGAGGGGAATAAAACGAGCAGGGAGGAATCTCTTTTTTTGTTTTCCACCCACCGTTTTCAAAATTGAACCAATCTAGTGCTTGGCAGTATTTTAAGGTATCGTGGTATGAGATTGGCCTGCGGGGTACTGTGAGCAGAGAAAACAATTAAAGGTGTAGCCTCGGGCAGACACGCCTCTTGTTTTTAGAGCATTCCTGTGGGATGGAGACGTGACAGGAGAAAGTACAGAGCCAGCCTGCTGTGAGGTTCACTCATCAGACACGGCAGCACCACATACATTCATAACGTTCATAACTTCGTGGATGAAATAAGGTTTTGATATTTGCATTCTGTCTGGATTTTACAAGTCTATAAAACAACAACAGTGGCTGTAGTTTGAAACAATTTCACTCCAGTTTGTTAAATTGCAAAAACAATAAATAATTTTTTTCATAATAAAAGATCAGTTGCGCTGAGTGTTTACAAAATAAAGCATTTTCACAGCGCACCCTGCCGCTTCACTTTTTCAGTAGTTTTCATCATTGCTCTGAAAAGCAACACCAGAGAAAATGAACAGCTGCCATCACCATCACAAAGCACATTTATTCAAAAAGTAATTATCCAGCTGTCTTCAGATTCCTCAGCCCTGACAGGTCCGGGTTGTGGACATTTTAGGTTCCTGGTCTCTTGCAGCCGAGCCTCTCTGACTCAGAGATGAACTGACAGCACCCGAGTGTCTCTTCATCTCTGCCCTCCTCGTCTCGGCCTTTTGTGAGATAACTGCTCGTGCTGGGACTCATTACACGATGATGTTCCTCAGTCCCCTGGATGGTGAACCGATGATCTTGGAAGTCTGGTTTATGAGATCAGTCTGGCCCTGTGAACTGTCAATGTTTACATTTCATAAACGCAGTGTTTTTTGAGTGGAGCGAAAACCTGGATCATGTGTTTCCAAGTGCCACAACTATATCAGCGGTGTTGGAGGCAGACTGCGAGCACCGGCCCCGTCTGGCCACGCTCCCTCTGTCTCTCTTTCACTTCCTTTCTCCTCTTTCCCTCTCAATAAATGCCCTCGGTTCCCGTTAATCTTCCATTTTCATATTCATTTTGTCTTTATTGCTTCCAGATGAAGCCCATTTGGATCAAGAGATTAATGCTGCCATCAGTCTATAAACTTCCTCCACTCGGCAGATAGCCGCCCTGTCATTGTTTCATTATTTTTGAAAGACTAACAGACAGAACAAGCACTCATCGGCTTATTATTACTGCTCTTATTACGCTATGTGTCTGCAGGAAAATGGAGGTGGTGAGGATGTGGCTTTGCCAAGTTATTGGACAGTTAGCCGGCAGAATCGTTGCAAACGCCACTCTCCCCGCTTACTGAAGAATTATGCACAGGTGGCTCCAGAAAGAAAAAATAATAATTATTGAGAAAATTTAAACTGATTTAATCTCCCAGCCAAGTCGCTTTTAATACAGCGCTTCCATCCATTCTGCCAAGTCTCTCTGTTTTTTAAGTGCAAAGCCCCGGGTGCCGTTTTCTCATGAGCTTTATTGTTCTCATTAAAAAGACATCAGCTTTCCATTTCTTTCATTAACGGGTCAGGTGTACCCTGGGCAACTTCTGGGAGTCTTTCTGATGACGGTGGAGAGCTGGTCACCGCAGCGCCCGGTGATACCAGGCTGTTTCCCCTGCTGGTGAGCTCTTGTTAGCAGTGAGCCGGTGCCAATTAGGCAGCAGGGGTCTGCCAGCCTCTCAGCTAATGACAAGGCTGCTGCTGGCCTGTCTCTTATTAGACCTGCCCCTTCCCCCCTGAACAGGAATAACTCCGGCCAAATGAAGGCTCCATTGTCTCGCTGGCCAGAATGTAACAGTTCATTTATTCTCCCCAAACATTTCTTCCAGTCAAGAAATAAAGCCTTTGAAAGGCCAGCCAAGGTGCTTAGCGGTTGATAGGAATGCCATTTAGGTCAAGAAAGGTTCCAGTTCTTTGCGTTTGATTTATTGTCTCTCTTATATAGGAGGATAACAGGGACGTATGTGTGTGAGACGGGATCCAGCACATTGGAATTCAGGAATTTCAGGCTCAGTCAACCCACACATCCATAATTTCAGCCCTCTACATTTCTGAATATCCGCTCGGGCAGTTACCTTAAGTGTGCACTGATGAGGTGTTACGTAAGTCACACACAGCAATGTATGTTTCCAGTCCTTTTTGTCTTCATCAAAAATATTAAAAGATTGAAAGTCAGCTCAATGAGATGTTGAAGTAGCACCAGTCACCTAAGAGACGCATATAGAGATTGAGTAATTGTTACTAAGATCATCATTATAAATATGGCAGAGTGAGGCTGGGACTGTATGGAAAGACTTGCACATCAGTAAAGAGTCTTAAAGTTCACAGCAGCCTGATGATTACATTACGATCTGAAGCTCATTGCAGGGAAAACTTTGACTACATGAACCCTGAGGCCCCAACGTCACCTTTCACTGCCGGTATAAATCTACTAATAAGCAAACAGCGTGCACAGTCACAAACCAGTGAGCATAAATTAAATCCAGAGGGAAGTCTATCATGCAAAAACACATTATTTTATTGGATTCGATTAGATTAGAGAGAATTTAATGCCGTTTCCTAACATTTTAAAGAGAAACTACATCCGTTCATCAATCATCTGTACTCCTTTATCTTTTTGAGGGTCGTCTCAGTCCCAAAACAGAAACAAACTGGGAACCTTCCTGCTGATGAACTGAGCTGCACTTTATAGAGAAATTGGTTTATGAAAAATCAAACGGCAGGTTAATCGATGACGGCAATTGTCCCAGTTGTCTTTACCATATTAGAAAAGTGTCAAATTTTCTTCTAACAGTGTTGTTGTTCTTTATCAGCACCTGGCTGAGGATATGAGTGCAGCTCTCTAGGCCTTGTCTTTCCAGGAAATGTTTACTGTGTCAATGAAAACCTCTTCCTGTATTTACAACTTTCATTTGCTTCCCAAAGGGGTTGTTACCCCTCGTGCAGCCAATCTCTTCCCTCTCCTGCTCTCTCTTTCTCAAATTCAGATGCCGACATGACGGACATAATCACACAGGCGTACAACTCAATAATTTTCAATTTAATCCCGCTGGAGGCACATTCAGACACTGTTCTGTTCTGTTATGACATTTAGATGCAGAGCGTGGCATGTCGACTCGCTGGCCAGAACTGCAGCATCTTTATGGGCCAGAACTGCAGCAGTGCGAGGAATTTTCCAATAAATGTGATCAAATCCATAATAAATGGCTGCATCATATTCTCGGTTAGTTCTGCCCTGCAGCCATGACATTCCTTCTGTATGAAATCAGGCACAGGGTCACTGAACCTGCTTTAAAGTTAGTTTTTTTCATTCCTACATTGTGTTATCCAATTGGCTGACTTTTGCTCACTTTCATTTCAGGAAGTATCACGCTGCTCAAGTGCCTGTTTCCATCATCCCAGTGATGCACTGTTTAATATTGCATAGTCAAAAGTTGGTGAAAAGGCATTTTATGGGTTATCATGCATGTTCTTGTCTTGTGCTGTGTGGTTGTCCCACTACGCAGGAGCCGACATGGTTCTTACATGTTCCCTTCGGTGGTTCTCAGCAGGCCTGCCTCTCTGTCTGGGCATTGGCCACAAAACTGTTTTTACAAGTGCAGAAGTCGCTGCTCCATTGCTCTGCAGCCCAACCGTATAACCAGGCTCTTTTCCTATTCTGGGGAAGTGGAGCGAGAGGAACGCCTCGTGCTTCCACTGCTACATCTCTGCAGCAGGGAGGACATACATCTACGGGACACTTTCATGTCCCTCTCATGTCTCTCGGTCCGCCCTGTCTTTGTCCTCGTCTTTCTCTGCCCGTCTCCTTCGGGATGATCTCCCCTCGTCTTCCCTCTTTGTCCAGACTCTCACAGGCCCCATGTCCCCCCCCCTCGCCCCCACCCTTGAACAAATATACACCAGTGGCTTGGGCTTCAGCAAACGTTGGCTGCCTTGCCACTGAATTCTCCTTACCTCATTTGAGATGGGCATCCCTTTTGCTCGTGGGTTTGTTGAAGGCCATCTCTAAGCCAGCCCAGCATGCTGCTGCGGACTGCCTGAGTGCCAGTGGGGTTTTTCCACTAACACTTGGCTGTCATGGCTTTAACCAGCGGGCCAGACTGAGCCCTGCAGACACAGACGCCTTCTTCACTTGCCTCTCCCTTTGATATTTTAGGGAAAGAATGCAGCTCTGTGATAACACACACTATCTCGTATCTTTTTGTGTCTCTATATTAAAGAAAGCTGTAGCAGCCCTGCTCGTGCTCTGAGGCCGTGTTGTCTGGTCTGTTGGGAGGATGCCCTTTGGGAATGCACAATGAGGTGACCTTGATAGAATCGGAGTGAAAGGAAAAGTGGCAACGTCCCCAGCAGGTGCTGCACGACTGTCAGTGACACAGATGGGTGGACGCACACAAATGCCCGTGCGACATGCATACATTATGCAAATAAACTTGTGTAAATGCATACACATACATTAATGTATGCTTACACATACACATAGATCCTCAAGAGCCTTTCATAAGCGTCTCCACTGTATTCATGTCTCCTTTACAGCCTGCTCCCCCAAAGTATTTCAGCTGCACCAGTTAGAGTTTGGAACACTGTGCATGTTAAATGTCTGTAGTTTGGATCTCAGGAGCGCTATATATAAATATATAGTTGTACATTAAGCACTTTTGCAGTGACAAGTATCTGTCCAGAATTCTCTCTGCTGTCTTTTCCATTCTCCAGTTGTTTATTCTTTTAGTGGCTCCACTGGAAAACGGCGTGCGCAGCTTCCACAAGGCCTTTAGGAGCAGGAGAAAATCAGCACTTGTGCGACAGACCAAACAGTAGCAGTTGGATTGGATTCTCTCTGCTCTTACTTTCTTGACCAGATGGCTGCCCCGTCGCTGCCTGACCATCTGCGTCGCAGCTCAGCCCAACCCAATCCGGTTCAGCTCCTTTCCCATTCTCCTTTCCATGCGCTGACATTTTTATCCTCCCATTAAAACTTTTAAGGGCCCATTATCTAAGAGGAAGGAATGCTGCTTTAATAGTGTGGTGGCTCCATGCTTAGGCCCCTTCTTTAACCAACACTAGCTATAGATGCTTAATGTTCTCCAGCCAGCATTGGGCAAAGAGGGGACCGTGTTCTCCTCTGAGAGACGTATGACAGCGTCTCAACCCTGGAGCATGAGCCCTCTTTTCACTGCCCTGAGCACTCAGGACAGACTATAAACCCTTGGCATGCCTTCCTCTACTTCAGCCCCATTGTTTCAGTCTCTCCACTACATGTTCCTCAGGTTGAAGAGGGCTCGCAGCGCTGTGGTGAAGAACTTGTGGCCTCCTCTGAGCTTTTGTTTTAGGATCACAGGAGTCGGCATCTCAGCTGGGGCACCCATGTTAACTTTTCATGATTTTGCACAGCTCCCTAAGGTCAAGTTAAAACTTACACTCTGCTATTGAAAGTTTACTGTTGTTTATATTTTTGGTAGGCGGGTTTTACCTCAGAAAGAAGTCTAGCAGAGCCTGTAGCACAACATGTAGTTCAACCAAATCCTCTCTTGCAAGATGTAGATGTTTTACTGTGACTGAGCATATTGTGTTCTCAGTGGACGTCTGGTTCTGAGGGAGCGGGAGAAACAAGTTGGCTCAGAAGCTATAGAGTTTAAATTACAGCCCCTGCCTGAGATAGTGATTTGAGCTCCAATCAGTCTCTCCAAAGTGCTATTCATTCCCACTGACTCGCCTGCAGGAGTTACCTTCATCAGTAAATCCTTGCGTCCCTTCTGTTTTGTCCCCTGTTGTCCTGACCTGCTGGTTTTTCAGAGCGGTGTGATGTGGCCTGAACTTAAAGCCATGTCCTGCAGGTGCGGAGGCTGATCTCACTCAGTGACAGGCACACAAATTGATTCTGAGATGGAAAGAAATCTGAACATACCATGGTCACTTTACTCCCAGAGGATCATGCAGTTGTTTCTCTGGGTTAGAATAGGGAAGGTATGCACTGGATATTTCGCCTGCGCAGCAAAATCTTACTGGGTCAATTATATTGAGAATGCCTAAAAAAAAAGTCTTGTCTACAGTCACGCTGTGTTCTTACAGACACTGAGAGCCTATTTTCTCAGCCAGTTTCTTAATGTGAGTGAAAGGATCCTGCATGAACACGCTCATTTCTGCCATAGCTCAGATATTTTCACATTAGAGATTCTTCTTTGTTTTCCCCTCTGTTTGTGTTGTCACTGTCTTTCTCCAGGTTTCATGCTAAGCTAACTTACTGCTTGTCATGGCTTTGTGCCAATAGATCCCTTTCACCTGAATCTGACACACTGGACCTTTAAAGATGTAAAAACATTTTTACCTTGATGTTATATATTTTGTTGAGTTGTGTACTACTTACATCATTTAAAACATTTCCAACAATGTTCAAACCCAGGGTTCACATTTCCAGTTTCATTCAAGATAACAACAGCAATAATAATACACTTTATTTGTATAGTACAAAAAATCAGAGCAGATGAAAAGGAATAACTATAAATTCCTGTGGATGAAGGAAAACTCTCTGCTAGCCAGTCGACTGTCCAGTGTTTGTATTGGTCACTCGTAATGGATCACCATTATTCATTGCTGTTTGGTGCATAAAGTGAATAAAACTTTAATACATCACTTTATCCGTGAGCATGATTTGCACCTGAATTTGCAATTTTCCTTGGTAGCACACGACATCGTCAAACTATTTCTTCTGTTATTGTTTGATTAACAGATCCCTATAGCGGCTGAAGTGTAAATCAAGCACGAGATTTACAGGCTCTTGGCAACAGCATCGCCTTCTTGTGGTGGACCCAGAGGTCATGACCTTTAGTTGTGGTCACTTGCAGAGGGAACACTCCCACTTGTTTTCCCAGTTATTGCATTGGTCCTTTTTTACAGTAGTTTTCATGCATCTGTTCACGTTAAGCTGTGTGAAAACCTATATCCTCTCTGGTTTATCCCTCAGTAGCTATTTGAAGGACTAATTCTCATTTCCAAGGCGTTAGACTCTATTTCCCGTCCAGTTCTCAGCCTATAAAGTGGTCTGTAATAATTTTTATTAGTTTCTACATGAAGAATTATGTCTTATGGGTCAGCAGATTGTTTTAGTTGATCGTTATATATGTGATCTAGAGGGTTTTTTTGTGTCCACCTCCTAATGAATGTATGTTTTTTTTTCCTGCTTCCCATCATTCAGTAATGATAAAAACTGGAGGCCTTTGGCAGCCGGTTAGAGGGAACAGCACACGGTGGATGATAGCTGGACCTGGCCTGGAGAAAAGGGCCATTGTGTCAACACTTTGGCTTTTATTGGTCCTCAGAGAGATGAAGGCCCAGGTTCTGGCCCCAGCTCCACATGCTATTGATGGATGGGTCTGTAGCATTTGGGTAGAGGGGCTGCATGAAAATGAAGGTGGAGTGAAGTGAGTTTTGGGATCCATATCACAACCTTAGTAAGTAATCTTTAGTCCGTTGGGGCTGCTTGGTTGGAAATTCAATCCTCTGTTAAGTTCACAGATGTCTGTTTCTTGCGCTGGCCTCAGAAAGACACAGAGCGGAGAGAAGGGACCACTGAATTCCTCTTCCCACTTAAATGTGGCTCGCTGTGAATTCTGCAGCTGCTCTGTTGATGCTCATTCACGGTCACTTCACTCAGTCGTGTCGTGGCTTTTTCCTGTCAGCTGACGTGCCGGTCCAGTGTTTGTGTAGCGTGACAGGCTGCTGCTGCAGTTAGTGTGTGAAGGCTCATGCCGTCTGCGAGAATGACAAGCGCTCGGGCAGGGTGACGTCTGAGAGGATTGTATGACCTTGAGACATGCGTTGACAGACTTAAAGTGATGGAAAGTATTTAAGCAGGAGGTCAGAATTGTCTAAATCACTCACGTTGTCAGCTCCTGGAAGGAAAGAGAAATTCAGAATGGTTTTGGTCAAATGATTTTGACATCCGCAGTGGAAATGTATAAAAGCGCATGATTGTTTTTGGAATCAACGTATGAAGATCAAAGCTGTTAAATTAAAGAAGTTATGGTAGCACAAATTAAAGTCCAAAAAAAAACCATTGGAGCATATGGAGAACGCATCCCTCCACAAGTTGAAAAGATTCCGGAATTTGCCCATTTATCCTGCTCCGAAATGTCATCTGTTAATATTTATTTACAATCCTAAATGTTTAATAAATACATATATATTTTTTAATAATGTGTAAGAGCTGCTCAAATTCCGTGAACAAAGGCCCAAGAGTCCACGTTTGAAATCAATTTTAATTTTGCTAGATTTGGATTTGGATCTGCACCAAATTTCACATATAAAGTAAGCAAAATAAAACTCCTGGATCTCGCCCTGATGCAGAGCTGCATAAAAAATTAATGGGTTCTTACTCGGTTATACCCCCACCCCTCCACAAAGTTTCATGAAACTCAGTGGAGTAGTTTAATGTGTAATCCTGCTAATGATCAAACAAAATCAGACAAAAACATAAACTTCTTGAAAATGCTCTTGGTTTTGTCCGGACCGATGCTCCACATTTGGATGTAAGAGGATCCGTGCACAGGTGTCGACACTAACGCTCAAATTTACACCCGAAAAGTTTGACTAATTAAGGAAGTTCCACTTAAAAACACCCTTCAGTGCAAGTTAATGAGACATTAATGGAGGAGTCCTCCACCTCCCTGTTCACCAGAAGAGCAGGAGGAGAGATCTGTTTTGTTTTAATGAGCAGGAGATCTGGGGTTTGTCACTGCGTCGGTAGCGGTGGTGAGGTTTCACCACAAATAAGTCAAATATCTGTGTTCTTCCTTAAAGGCAGCGGCGTTGTTACAGATCGGAGCGAAGTGCAAGAAGGGCTGCGTGTGTGTGTGTATCATAATTCATGACATGAGGGTCCCAAGTCAAATGTGTAGTGGTCGTCTGTTCATCAAGCATTTATACATCACACAGGAATTATGTATCGCCGCGTGCCATGTTTAGCAAAGCTGTGAAAAATTAAATGCATTTATTTTCAATATCATTTATATACTCACTTTGTGTTTTTAGAGTCTTAACTGAAGTGCTTCGACCTTGACTTGACTCAAGATGCCTTTTTTTTTTAAGTGCTTTTAAACTCAGTCTCTACGGGGAGATTTTAACAAAGGAGGGTTTTTTTTCTCTCTCTCTTCTTTATGGGGGATTACCTCAATTAAAATTACAGGTCTACTGGATCAGCTCCTGCTGGGAGTTTTATCCTTTCTGTTGGCAGCCTCCTTTTTATAGCCTGAAACAAGTGAGCGTGTTCCAACAAGTGCTTGAATCTTTGTAGCGGGGTGCGGGGCATGTCATGTCACCAGCAGTAGGCATACAGTATGTGGTACTCAGGGTAAGAATGCATGACGGGCATTTAAAGATTTTCACTCCTTCTGCCAACCCTGTAAATTCTAATTTAAGACCTATCTCTGAACTTTGTGAATGGCTATAAACAAAATGAAGTGAAGGTTAAACTCTCTCCTCTTGTTGTTCACTTCACAGTGCAACCAGAAGGTGCAAAGGAGGGACCCACCTGTATGGACAAGAACCACGGCTGTGCACACATCTGCAGGGAAACACAGAAGGGGGGCATCTCCTGCGAGTGTCGACCTGGGTTCCAGCTCACCCGTAACATGAAGGACTGCAAATGTAAGTCAAACACACACACACACACACCCCCCCCCAGACGGAGGGAGGATTTATAGGCTCCTCATGAAGAAGGTGATTGGGGTTGGAAACCTGCCGATGTCGGATAATTGCACTCATTCCACAAATGCCTCTCCAACAGATTTGAAGCCGGTTACTGACATTTACGTTACATTACCGGGCTGTGACTAATCTTCTGAATAGTCCTCGTAAAAGAAAAACATGTTTATCAAATAAGGAGTGATCATTTACACAACCAGGGCAAGTGTGGAGGTTACTCGAAGGGGACCGCTCTGACGGACAGCGCACACTTCCTGTTGCTGTGCAACAGAGATCATCCTGTCAGGGCTGGGGCCGGGGCTGATGGGGGATTTGTCTGTGTTTGGATAAGGATTGGAGAAGTGTTATTCTATAGTTTTTCTGTGACAGCCCAGGAAAAGGGCAAAAGGCGCTGGGATGGTAGGGTGCAGACAGGATGGCGGTGGAAGGCTTGGCTCGCTCGGGCTCTTTTTCACTCTGTCATCACAGGTGTGTTTAAAGTGCCAAGGTTAATGCTTCCTTCAGCCGCCAGCATATAAATGTATTTGCACTTAAAGATGTGCAAAGACACACGCATGAACACACAAACTTAGAGCAGGAATCGCACCCTTCAGAGTGACTTACAATGAGTGAGTGAGTTCAGTCTCTTGCTCAAGGCCACCGCTTCAGCTGCTGGAGAGTTTAAAATATGACCTTTCAAATCCTTCGCAACTCCCGAAGTAATTCTTCAGTCACAAGGATGAAAAGATTTAGTATGTGGAGTAATGAATGGAAGCTATAACAGTGATTAACATGCTGTACATTCACCACTTAAGGCGTCGAATATGTAAATCATATCATGACCTTCTGCATATTGTGGGTCACAGATTTTGACCTTAAACTAAGACCAGTTGCACTTAGTGTTAAATAAACAACCAATATGTTAAAAATGTCTTTAGGTCCCATTTGTTTGCTGTACTGTTTTTGCATTGAACAGATTTGAAGAGTTTAAATAATACCTTTGCAAACATTCAGCTGACACTGGTCTGCAACTAGAGGATTTTTGGGGTCTGATGCCAATATTGATAGTAGGTAGTAATATAAATATATATATATATGTAATAAAAAAAAGATTGCTAAGATGCTGTAATCAAAACTTATGTCAAAAAAATGTAAAAAAAGAAAACACAAATACAACCAAATATTTATTAGTCTCTTCTCTCCATCCTCACGTCGCCTCTCTGCTGCCCACTTCTAAATAAAAGGTATAAAATGCACAGGAAATACTTTAAAAATATATTTGTTTATGTACAGTGTATGTTATCTGTGTATCTTTTAATAGTGACATGTAACTATGGTAACGGGGGTTGCCAGCACATCTGCGAGGAGACGGACCACGGCCCCAAGTGTTCGTGCCACATGAAGTTTGTCCTGCACAGCGATGGAAAGACTTGTGTAGGTGAGTCATCTCACCCCTGATACAACGGCCGAGGGGAAGAAATCAAATGAGAAAATATTGAGTCACAAACGATTAACTCGCTGCCCAAACAGCAAATTGAATTAACTTCTGGAATGCGGTGTAACAGTGAGAGATTCTCTGTGAAGAAGACGTACGCCTGAGTCTTTTCCTCTTGATCTGTGACATACAAGGACAAAAGGCTACCACCCACTATGCTGTCCCCTCTGCTGCTGCTCCAGTAACCTCTCAGTCCCTGCATCTGCTTCAGCTTTTCCTCCTCTTCCTCCTCTCCTTCACTGGACACTTTGCAACAGCTCTCTCCCCCTTTTTTCTCTTTCTCAGCCACTCAGTCAGACGCACACCTTGTATTAGCCCCTGGGTCACTTCCTGTGCTGCTTCCCATCAGGGATTAACTCACACACCTGACCTAACCTTCCGCTGGCATTTATCAGTGTTTGCCTGGGTTGACTTAAGTTGAGTAAAAATCATTCGGCCACTCGGGCATATTGAGCCGCTCTGAAGGGCAGTTTGTGCATCAGATGGGACCTGCAGGTGCACAAAAGTCAAAGCGGAGGTCACGATTGATGTGTGCGGATTGTGTTCAGCCACGCAGACAGGCCTTTATTTTATCCGTCTATTTAAAGTCTCATTAATATTTTTCTGCTTACATTACAAACCTCTTTAATTCATCCAGGACATTGGAGTCTTAATTAGCTGGTTTTGTAACGTGAGCCTCTGTGATTCTGGGAAGACATATTTTCATTGTCAGGAAGACAAACACAGTAATGGAATTAGATACTGCGCCTGCAGAGCAGACTGGTGAGGCGGTCGCTTGGTTTCAGTGGCTGTCAAACTTAGAGAGTTTGATTTGGGCCGTGGCTGATAAGCTCAGTGTTTCTATTACCACAGCACTGATGAAAGCCAGACCTATGTCAAGGTCTGGTCAGCCAACCTGTCATTATTGCTGTACCCTGCTAGGCTAGGGGGACGCCACAAAGTTGACCGCGACCAAATTATATGCCGTAGCCCGTCTTTATTTCCAAGGCAGAGCACATGCACATTTAGTGTGCCAGATTAGGAAGCAGTCCTCCAGTTAAGATCTCTGATTTCCCCCCACAGAGTCTGGGGTTACAGAGGTGGAGGGAGAGCCGCTCTGTGGTCGACACAGGGGCGCTCCATCTCCCAGATGCTCTATTAGTTAATAAAACCTCTATAAAACAAACAATGTGCCAAATGAGCCGCTGACGGGAGAGTGAGTGACAAGAACGTTGGAAGACCTTCAGTGAGGCAGCACTACTGTGCACTAGGACTGTAATTCTGAGGGGTTTCCACCATAAAAAACACTATTAAAAAGCAGCGTCTGCACTTCTGCAATAGCTGCATAGGTTTAAACACATATTCCAAGTTCCTGCGCCAGACTTAAGTATAAAAACCTCAACCCTTGGCATTGTTTTTGAAATGTATGACTTCTTACCAAATGCAACAGCTACCTCTCCTTTGAAGAAAGAGAACCCATGTTTATTTATTCCAAGGCTTAAAAGAAATGGTCTCTCTAGGAGCTGAGAAATCATATTTTAATCCTGTATTAAGTTTCGAAATTGTTTTAATTGTCACAAGGAATATGACGATGGCTTCGCTATATTTTGCTGTCTTCATATAGCACGTAGTGATAATTAACCTTTAGCCACCGCATTCAGAAATAGTAGTAATATTAAGAATGTGGATGGTATCCATAGCAACTACACGAAATGAAAATACCCTCGTGTTTAACCTCAGTATTGATTTAAATACCTACACAAAAAAGAACCTGGCACATGATCCAACACATCCTCGTCAGTGGCTCTTGTCGTCGCTGTGGCGGTGTTTTCTTCCATATGCTGCAGCTTCACTGTTCAATCCATCTTGTCGGGTGTTTCATATGCATTCTGCAACTTTTTCATTCATTTCGTGGTGTCTCTCCTCACCCGGGCTCGTTCATGCATTTTGTAATAATACACAATATCCTTCTGCTGCGGTGGGGAAGTGTTGCTTCATCCTTCCTGTCTCACCCCTGTTGATACTGTGCCAGCTGTAGGTGAGAATGTTAATGTTGGGAAGGCTTGGTATGGACTCCACACGTGGACTGTTCTCAGACACACACACGTCAACACACACTTTAAGAGACACGTTTAATCAACTTCTCAAAAGTCATGATTTTGACTAAAATAGTCCCAAAAAACTATAAATGTGGTTCATTTTTTGGATGTAATGACTGTGAATCAAGAAAGTAGAAATTTCAGGAGGGAGCAGCCATCATGTGGAAGCATTCATGCTGTTAGCACAGCAAATCATAAACATTCACAAATAGCAGACAGATGCAGGCATGCTCAGGAGTTCAGTCATCTGAAGAGTTGGACACACACACACACACACACACACACACACGCACAGTAAGAGAGCGAGAGATGCATCTTATAACACAAACAGAAAGCTAAACAAACAACCTGCACAAACATACAATACATATCCAGCATGAATGCATCACATGCATGTAACCCCTGTGTAGTCTCTACGTGCACATGCCCGTGACATAAACACAGCGCTCTCGTTTCGGGTGGTCTGTGGATTCACGTCTGTGTGTTCAGAGGTATCTCTCTTTCCCTCTAACTGCTGTGGATGGTTGTTTCTGGATGGTGCATGTTGGGACTGGGACATGAAACATGGCGGTCCATGTGAGCTGAGCATGCTTTGTGGTGTTGACCTGTCATTGTCAGACTCGGGCATCCGTGTACTACCACCTCAGAGAGTATGTGAAATAATTCCAAGGGTGGAAAGTGATTTCTTTTTTTTTTATTATGATAAATTCTGTAATTTTTGAAATTCTTTCAAGACATTAAATGTACATGAGCTACATGCTTATGTTACTTGAAGTTGAGACTTAAAGCTGGATATACATTCAGTGGGAAAATCTAATTTGTAGAATTTATTGAATTCACAGGCAGTAAAGTAAAGTTCACATCAGTATAAACAAAAAGGCACTTGGATCTGACAGCCTTTAGAGACTTGCCATAGCAGCGTAATAACATTGATCCTGAAATGATTGGACCATAACAGCTATCATAAAGCACAGACATGATTCCTGCTGTCCCTGTCTTTCAGCTTGCAGCACTAACCACCACTCACTCTGTCTGTCAAGGCTCGCAGTGCTCGTACTAACTCGCCAAAGCCTCATCTCACTTAGAAACAGCAACACTGCACTTTGTCTGCACCGTGCGGAATATCTGCTTGCATGACTGCATGTTGAGGGGTAACACTTTTGCCTTGAAATGTCACCCTCCCTTATTTTCAAAGAGGAGCTGTCATCAGCAGTGCGTGGTTATAGCGTTTGGAAAATGATCACTGCTGTTTGCTCTGCTGCGACAAGATATCGTCATTCTCTCATGTCATTATCACCTCGTGTGGGCATAAATGGACTTTAATGATGTGTTTAAATCAGGAGAGATGATCGCCTCACATTGATGCTATCCACCTTGCTCCTCAGCTCATGATACTTTGCATGAATTATGGACTCTGCTCACAGTTATTCTCGTCACTGAACCGGTGTCTGCGTGGGAGCAGAAAAGCTACAGGTGTTACATATTAATGAAGTTAGAACACAAACTGTCATGGTAGACGGGATGATGTGAACGCATCTCTGACATTTCCAACACACAACTAAGTTAGTTAGTGATAGTTGAACTTTTAGGAAGTTCGGAGACAAGTTGTGGCTGCACTATGGAGCCCCCTATGGGTCACGACAAGAATTTTTTGAGGATTGCTCTTAAGTTCCCTCGCAATATCTTTTGCATTATCTCTTAATACTTTCCCGTTCCCATCATGCAACATCGTCATTTCATTATAGGTGTGCAAGTGCGCAGTCATCTGTATCCGGGCAGTTGTCCCGAGAACAGTAACTGGTTCCACATGAATCAGACGCCATCCTGCAGATCTCCATATTGCTCTTCTGGAGAAACCTCCTGCTTTAAGAATTCGTTTAAGTCAAAATCAATAAGCTGATCCATACTGCAGACCCATCGGGACCCCGGGGGAAAAAGCAATAACAATGTGTTTCAGGGACACACAACTCGCACTCGGGACCAATACTTCATATGACTCAGAAGGAATAAAGTTATTGAGAGGTGACGCAAAACTATCTCAAGGTTACGCAATATGTATTGTGAGATGCAAAACATATTGTGGGGGACCATAAAAGTAATCCTCAAAAGAATCCCTGCTCTGACCCTTCTGGGGCTCCGTTCTGCATCAACAGTCACAAACGAAATGTGTGGCTTAAACAATGTTGTGTCAAATATTATATAAAAATGTAAAGAAACTGATCCTGTTGTCTACCCAAAGAAGACAAATCCAAAACTGCTTTTATTTTCAGTAAAATTAATTTGACAAAACGTGTGCAACTTAATTAGCTTTTCATAAAATTCACTGTAATTACCAGCAGAATCAAAAGAAATATATTTATATCTTCAGCAGTAGAATTCACAGCTCTGATCACTTTATTATGGTTAACACCTGTAGCCTTCCACTAACTCTCAAAGATGCTGCTTCAGTTAAAGTCCATAAGCCATGCAGGACATCAGGGGTCGGGACAAGGTGGACATTCAGATCTTGTCACATGCTCATGATTTACATAACACGCAAAGTGTACGGAGAACTAAAGTGGTGTTTTTAAAATGTGTGCGTGTGTGTGGGTGTGCGTGTGCATGCAGGAGAGAGGAGTGTCCAGTCCCAGGCAGCCCCACAGCTGTTCCCCAATGGTAAATATGTGTTCCTCCGACTCCTCTCTCTTGGGGTCTGTGGGTGTGGGGAGTAGAGGAAGCTAACCTAGCAGACACTGACCGGGCCCTTCCCCTCCCCACAGGGGCATCATCCTTCTGACCTTTGACCTCTGACATCCCCCTCCACACCTCCTCTTCCTTCTGTGAATGCCCTCTCAATAACAACCGCTGCCCGTGTCAAACCACACCTTTTCCAAACACAGCTGCAAACAGGGAGCCTCCGAGCAGCATTACGAACATCATGTGAAGTGATGGAGATGTACTGGATCTAACACGGCCCAGATTGTATTCGTCAGAGTCAAATACTGCACTTAAGTACAGTTTCAGATACTTTACAGCAAGCGGAGGCAAATACTCCACCACATTCATCTGACAGTCACTTTTCAGGTTCAGATTTTACATAAAAAAACTCCAATAAACATATAAAACATAATTTAGGTTATGTAAGATTAAATCAGTGGTTCCTAATATTTTTGACGCGTGCCACCTTATAGTAAAACGATGTGTAGTTGGGGCCCCTCATGTCCCTCATGCCCTTCTTATACCATACCATACTCTTAGATTATTTCATATAAATAACTTCAGGCTCAAAGAAGCAAAATGAGTCACTATTTCACAAAAACATCAACAGTCAAAGAAAAGTCTTAAATATTACTTTATGATTTATAAATATCTTTCTTTATAATAATATTATTTATTCATGCAGAGCCACAACTTTTACTTTTGATACGTCTGAGTACATTTAGCTGATGATATGCTTAATTCAAATGAATTATGAATAGATATGTGTAAATATATAACATAGATCATTTATTTTATTTCAGGTTGCCTTGTAAGAACTAGCAATAGGGACAACAGATGAAAATTAGCCTATAAGTTAACCTTTAAATCATTTTGTCTTTTGATTAATGAGCACTGTCCCTATCAAATCCAAAAACAAATTATAAATATTAACATAAGTAGCCTTTGTCGAAAATGTTAAAACCCTATCAGATTAACTGTGATGGTTTTAAAGAGGCAGAGCAAAGACTTCAGTTTTGTGTGTTTTGAAGTGAAATGAGGGAATTTAATCTTTTGTTGTTTCAAACCCTCGGTCACAGTTTCTAAACTCCATCATTGTGGCCTATTAGCTGTGGTGACAGAGCTGTAATGAGCTCAGGATGCAGCAATAATTCACATAAAAGATAAAAACACAGAATCCCTCTTAACTTGCTCTTTCATACATGTGGAATCTTGTTGCCTGAAACAGTGAAAATAATCAATATCACTCCAGTCCAGTTTGTTTTTCTACTTTGTGGGCAAAAGTAATTTGTTTCACAGGGTTTGCATCATGGACAATGGAGCTCATGTGGCGGGAGAGAAAAGAATCCAAACTTTGCTCTTTTTTTTGGTGTGATAATATCCCAAATGCAAATAGACTGAATTTTCAGGACGAGCTGTGGGAAAATAAACTCATAAATCTGAGAGCGATGAATCAAACCTTGATACATCAAAGAGACTTGGGATTTAATTATTTCATGTAAGAAACAGAGGGAGGAGGCTTGTTCCCAGAGGAGAAGCCCATTCAAGGTAAGGAGTAAAAACAATAGTGTTTTGTAAGTAAGTAGTTGTTACGACTGTAGGTACACAAGCGCTGTGTTCCCCACATGCTGCAATACAACATGATGCCCTATTTCAGGATTTTGTGGCCTATTTTTTTTCTTTCTCTGAAATAGAAACATTGAGAGCAGGAGACATATGTTGCATCCTGCTTCATCCAGACCCCTGATTCCCTGTGTTTGAATATTAGTAGAGTTCTTTTAATGGTTTTATTGTTGTGGTATTGAGAGAGCATTCACTTCAGAGCTTTATTCAAGTTTTTGTCTGACGACCTCCTGCACCTTCAGATTGACTTTGCTCTACTGTGTATAGCTGCATGTTTGCTGTTTGGTCAAGGAAACACTGAACTAATTTGTTCCCAGTGACAAACTCTCAGCGAATTGTTGTTTTTTTTACCTTTTTTTTGTTGTGAATTCTGTCCTCTCACCCGTTGCTGCATTCTGTTCATGCTCATTATAAATGGCTGATGACAGCTCACGCAGAAGTTGCTTGTCAACAGCTCTGATGTAAGGCAAGAAGTGGTGCAGCCATAAATCCTGTGGCTTCTGCTAGAAAGATGATGCACACTGTCTGGACCTCTTCGTATGAAACGTATACTGCCGAGGCTCAGCCTTAGACCAAACACCCGACACATCACCCCAGAGAGTATTTACAAAAGTCTGCCCACTGTTACTGTAATTGCAGATCCCAACCTGGTGCACTGTGGATGTGGCTGGTGTGCATCCAAAACACACAAACCCACACACATACCAGAGCGTGTGTGTCTCTCCCCTGCCTTCACAAAACCATAATGTCAGAAATATTTCTTTGCTCTCTTAATGCATGATCATTACAGTTTGGTGAGATGGCTGTCTGACTAAGCGTTTCGGAGACATGTCCTGACACTGTCTTATTGTCTCGTCTGCCAAGTGTCTCTGCTCACACTTTGCAATTATGTGAAGCCACAGTGCCATGCTCTGAAGCCTGGGTTGTGATGGAGGTATTAACTGGAAGCCCCCTCCACCCCCTCTGCCCTCTGTTGATCCATCTCGAGGGAACCAAATCTAGCAGATTCAAATTTGAATAGGTATTAAGCAGATTGTGCTTTTGTTCTTTAAATGGCTGTAAAATATGCCTTTAATTACAATGATAAACTCAGTTCAGAGCATTTTATTGCATTATAGCATTTGTCTACTTTGATAAAGTAAGTAAATAATTTTTTTAACTGCTGGAGGATCAGCTACAGGAAGAAATGTGGAATTATATAGATTATCAGGGAAAATGTCTCTGTGATAATAACACAAACTAAACACTTAAAAGTGTAATTGATGAAAGAGATCAGCAACCAGGTCTTAAAAAGTAAAGTTTGACTGTAACATTTTGTATTAGATGTGTACACTTCTAGGTAGGTCTTATATACCTTCATGTAATGCTTCTTCTGCTGTGCTGTAAAATAAGTTTTGTTTTGAGAAATGTTTTAGCAGCATGCATAGTTTTTAATGTCTCCATTCGTTGTAGTTTTAGTACAACAAGCTGTACTAAACTAAAAGACCAACGTGGAAATGATAACGGATCAACAAACACCTCAAATTCATGGCAATTCATTTACAGCAAGATGACCATCATAGCACTGTTTATAATGTTGTCTCAGTTATTTCTTTTAAACTCTGTGTATGTTAAAATTTACTCGAAATTGGTCCCAGTGTATTGTTGTATGTGTTCACCCTGTAGCGATGCAATCCACTGTTTTCAGCTTCTGTCTGTGAAGCAGCTATAAAACCTTCCATTACATGGCTGTAAGCACCTGTTTTCCTTTGATACATAATTCCAATCTAAAGCCACTTTTTTTATTTGAGAGAAAGGGCTTTAAAAACTTTCATTACGACTGCTGCAGGCGCTGCAGTTTCAGATTTAAGCGAAGAGGATTAGGTGTTTCCCCAAAGGGATCCTCACTCCCTATAAAAGAAACTGTGCAGCTGCATTCCCTCTTTAGTGCCACGTGTGAGAGAGGCCATCTCGTTGCCAGTGTGAAGCCTTCGACTAACCCAGCTCCTTTTAAGAGAAGCTGCCAGCCAGCATCCAGCCCATTAGTGAGGAGCGATGAGCTGTGTGAATGACCGGTTACCGTGCAGCGAGTTAAAGATTGTTCCTGGTTGCAAAGATTTTCTGTTGTTCTGAGGCTTTTCTCTAAGGCAGGACACCATCCTCTCTTCTGTGAGAACGAATTTCTCCTGTACAGTTGCTTAAAATGAAAGTCTCAGTGAAATTTGTCACTGTCTAGAGAAGAGGCCACGGCTCTGCTATCTTGACTGAGTGCCTCCCTTTTTTTTTTCTCCTCTCGACTCAGTCTGGCCAACGCAGGGGCGCAGGTAGCTGAAATTGCTTTTTTATCCCCAAAATGCCTGGAAGGTTTTGTCAAAATCAGGAAAAAAGTGGTGGTTTTGTCCGCGTGTGTCTGGAAGTCAAAGCCTCACGTTGGAGGAAGAGGGGGGGGGGCAGATGTCCTATAGTGCTGAGGACATCTGGAGGTTGTCATTCACCTTGACCAAAGTGAAGCAAACATGCACACACTTACATTTACACATGTACACACTATTACTGGCTGTGTTATTCCTCCTTAGGACTGTGTCCTTTAATTATTCTCCAATCCCTTCACTGTCAATCTCATTCCTCCTCATTCCTCTCTACCTCTGAACACCTTTAACCCTGCTGTGCTTCTTATTTTCATCTCCTGTGAGAGAGAAAAATTAAGAATTCTGTATATATACAGGTTTGTCTTCACATTTGTATTATCACACCAGCATGCATGTTTTGATGGGGAAAGAAATAAGTAGGTCAGGACAGCATCTACAGCATTATTTTTGTTTCCAGGGGTTTGTCTGACTGTGAGTGCTTGTTCCCCCTGCAGAGACCTGTGCAGTGAACAATGGTGGCTGTGATAGCACGTGTCATGATTCGGTGACGGGGGTCCGCTGCAGCTGTCCCGTTGGCTTCACCCTGCAGCCCGACCGCAAGACCTGCAAAGGTAAAGCATCGCCCACGGTTCCAAACGGCATTCAGCCAGCACCTGGCCATCTAACTGATCTGCTGCATGTCGGAGAGCGTCTCTCCTGGAGCTCATCAGTGGTATTATAATGGAGAAATAACACTGTGGCCTCCGTCCACGTTAACACCACGGCTAGTTGGATTTTCTCTTTATCAAGTGCTCTTACAATTTATATCAATAAATCCTCACTGGCTCCACCAATCTTTCAATACACTCTGGTTTTCAGCCTTTATAGTAATATTTTTATCATGCCACTCGATCTCTTGACTTCATTGTCTTCCCTCTCTAGTGTTGACAGAACATTCTCACGTCATGCAACATGCAGGTTTTTTATGTTATGTCTTATGAAATCAATTCCAAGCTTTACAGAGAATTATATCAAGAGACTAAGGGATTAAAGTCATCACTGACAGTTATGAATTAGGCAATTTCTGAGAGCTTGAGGACAAACTTTGTTTCCAGAGGAGCGGGGGATAGAAATCTGTGTTCTTTCTAGGGCTCATAATGTTATACCAACAAGCCTAGATACATTGGCTTATATTAGTTTGGTTTGAGAGGAAAGAAGAGGAGGAAAACAAATCCAGGCAGCACTGGCAAAAGAAGACAGGGGCTCGCTGCAGGCCAGACACTTCTGAAGAACAGAGACAAAGACGAGGAAGGGATTATTTTATTCCATTTCGGTTGCATTTTATTTTAACCAGATGATGAAGACTCCCTCCAGAGACAAATGCCTCATTTGTGATGATAATTCAGACTTAATTAGATCTGCTGCCAGACCTATCAAGGCAGAGACCCATCAAACGCAGGAATGCGCACACGATATATCAATACTGGCTGCAGAAATAAAGAGCGGAGTAATCGGAATGATGATTTAGAGGTCGCACTGCGTTGAGGCTTTGCTGTGTGAGAGCTGCAGCCCATTACAGCCAGACGCAAACAGATTTCAGCCATTCTGAGGGACATTAAGGAAAGTCCTGAAGCTCATTCCTAGTTTCAGCAAGACACGCCTGTACAGACATTACACAGAATTAGCCCAATTATCTTATGTAATGTCTGTTTCTATGTTATTATTTCTAGCACGTTGTTCCGATTTAACAACTTTTTCATTAGATTTCGTTAAAACTGCTATAATCAAGATTACTTGTACTTGAGAGGTTGTTATTTATCAGTAAAGCCGAACTCTGCAGTTCCTCTCAGCTCTTTGCAGCGTTTCAGTTCATTTTTATGGCCCAAAACTTTACACCACTTGGATTTCGCTCTCACTGCTTTCATTGTTTTGTTGTTTTCAGCAAGAATGTTTTAATACACTGAGCTCATGCTACCTACCCAGCACCAAAGTCAGAAACTAGCTGGTGAACATAGTGGAGCATTTAGCAGCTAATGAGCCAAATATTTTTCTCGGGAGTTGGTGGAGACCAAAGCAGAGCAAACTGTGGCCAAAAACATCATGTCCCCTTAAATTCAATCAAGCTGCACCAAATTGCACACATACACCTAAATAAGACTGTTTTTTCATCAGGATCCATGAACTATTACTCACAAAATCTATCTTGCAATGTTCATAAATATAATCTAATTTATGTTGATATAATGTCGATAAAAAATTCCTGGATCCGCACCAAAATGTAATGGATTCTTTCCTGACCCATACTGCATCTTTCCACCAGTTCCAGTAGTAATGGTCGGGTAGTTTTGGTTTAATCTTGCCTACAAACAAACAAACCAACCAACAAGTGGACAGGGCTGAAAACATAACCTCCAGCTAATCAATGCTAATGTTGCTCTGCATCCGCTGGATATACAAATAGGCAGCTGTTAGCGCCCAAGTTTTTCATATCAAAGATGATGCATAAACACTGTGTGTTCAACTCATGTAATGGTCTGATGTGTCCACCCTTCTTGACGATTCTAGACATTGACGAGTGCCGCCTGAACAATGGCGGCTGCGATCATGTGTGTCGAAACACCGTCGGCAGCTTTGAGTGCAGCTGCAAGAAAGGCTACAAGCTTCTGACCAATGAGAGAACCTGTCAAGGTAGGTAGCTCATTTCATTTGTCACTTAAATCAACATCTTGTTTTTGAACATTTCAATACAGTGGCACAATAATCGTCTCCCTCCTGGGCGTCAGAGAAGCCAAAGCGGAGCTCCCTGGCTTGTTTTTCTGTTCTATTTGGTGGCAGCCATCACTCAGCAGGAGCCGGGAGGACTAGCTGCAGAACAAATAAAGAGTTTGCCGTGGCCGAACACAGGTGTGGGGAATTAAAGCTGCAGCTCTAAAACCTCTTAAAAGAATCAAGCCACTACAGAGGAGTCTGGTGAAAGAAGAGCGGCAGACGAGAAATGCGGAGCCGAGCTCAGAGTCTCTCTCTGGGTGGAAAAACAGATGACAATTTTCTTTCTTTTTTTCATTCTCCTTTCTGTATTGATGTGGTCAATCAATATCCAGCCTGCTACACATCAGTGTCATGCAATGGGCTTAGAAATGCAGCTCTGAATCACACGGCTACGCACAAACATCATATGTGGTCAACGAAAAAATACACCACGTCGCTGTGCTTCGCAGCCACTTTGTTGTCACTTTGTATCTACTTTTAGTGGGATGCCTTTCTCTCATTATTTGGAGCCAAACAATCAAAGTTTATTTTGCCAAAATAACCGATAACTGAGAAAATGTGGTCTGTGCATGTAGGAATGTAAATCACAGCTTGTTTTCTGTGGCACTGAGCCACAACCAACTCAGCCATGTGCTGTTTGGGTGCAAGGGGGCAACTTGGAACAGCGTTGTCCTTGTTTGGTGTTGTGTGTTTTGTCTGGAGAGAAGGGCAGTGATAAAAGCTCACCTCCTGTTGAATGAGGTGTTGCCAGGCTCACACACTCCACACGACTGAGTCACCTGTCTGCTCCTTATCCTCGCTTCTCTCATTCCTGTCATTTTTCTCACTCGCTGAATGAGAGCCGGGTTAAAAAAAAGAGCAGAATGCCTCTCAGTGGAGGTTTAACTTTATCCTAATGATTTCTCTTCTGTTGCTGCTGCTGCTGCTTCTAGGATTTTTACCATCTTCTGCTAGTATGCAAATCTGTGATTTGATACAGGGATTTAGTTTTGGACTTTCAGATCAAAAGTGATGGTCAAAATCGATGCTGCAAAAATATCCTGAATTTGAAACTTCAAATTTTCCTTAATGTAACAATACATTGGCAGACATGGCAGGATAATCATGGTATTCAAAGTTTATAGCATGTGGCTGCATAAAAAACAAATTAAAAACTGCATTAACCAGAATGGAACTCCGAAGAACGCTCCTCTACCAGGGCCCAACAGTCCCCTCAAATTCAATCCAGCTGCACCAAATTACAAAAATAATAGGGTTGGGGTAATTGTTAGGGGTCAGGTTAGAGTTAAAGGGTTATCAGTCCCTTAAACATGCCTGATTTTATTTTTGTGTCAAGATTCGATGGGAAAATGTAAAAAAAAACGCCCTCTCTCACAATGTTTAATTAATTGATAAAAAACTTCCTGGATTTATCTCATGGTTCTGATCCACACCAAGATTGAATGGCTTGTTCCATGAATGACCCATAAACCACAAGTATAGCAAGTTTTGTGGTGACTTGTCCTGTAGTTCTGTGTAATGTTGCTTACAAAGGCCCTGTATTTCTGGTAATAGATGCTGCTGCTGCTTGTTAGTGGTGTCACGGTGACATCAGTGACACTTAACCAGGCGTCTGCCGTCTCCACGAGGTGCTGAGATATGTAAACTGAACTCTGGCTTTATCTTGGTTTAAACAGTCATGGTGTTTCCTTGCTGTCAGTGGACCGTGGCCCATGAGTCAGGACGAGACATGTCTGCTGAGCCCTTGTCGGCATTCCTCCGCCCTCGACACCCTCCTCCTCACTCCTAATCCCCATGAGGGCACTTAGGGAGATGTTCATCAGCCCTCGTGTTTTCTCCAGAAGGAACATCTTTGATAAAACTCTTATCTGTTCTGTATAAACAGCAGTGACCTGTTCCTGAATTTCAGCCGATTGCCATTTGCCTTATTTTTGAGCAAGGGCGGAGATTAAAGTGATAAACTGAGAGAACAAAGAGAGGAAATAATTGAGGGAAACTCCATCTTAGTCCGTCAGTCTCTATAGGTTGAAAATATGACTGCTCTCACTTAATCTTTCCATTGACTCCCTGCATATGCGTGGCCTCATGACGCGGTCCACCCCACCGCTGCATACTTCACCTTAGATCCCTGGTAAATAGGGGCTGTAGTTCCCAGATGTCTTCCACACTCTACTCTTCTGTGCGTGGCACAAAGAAAACGCAGAACAATATAATGATAAGTTGCAGATCGACTTCTGGCGTCACTTAGTGAATGAAAAACTCAGAAAACTCCACCACGCCCTAATTCCCAGGGGGTTTTAGACTCTTCACTTAAAACTGCAACGAGCATAGTTTATACTTAATATGCCCAAAACAATCAGTTTTGCAATGGCTCATGGAGCGTGTGCCAGCCCATGCTGCTCTCATCTACCAGTGCTGTTATTAATCACCTGAGGCCACAAATACTGGGGACTCTTAAGAGTTTGTTCTTGCTTTCATTTTTTGTTTGAGGTCACTTTTGATCTGCGGGTGCACCAGGTTTGGAAATTTTAGAAGATTGTTCCATTTGAATTGTGATTCTTTTTTTTTTCGTAGGAGGGGATTTATTAACCTCGACGAGGTGTCGTTAAGTCACGCGTCCATCAACGAAGCAATCCGGGGGTTTTCAAACGTTTAAACATCAACCTGTGGATCTCCTCCAGAGCTTGTAAACTGATCACTTAATGAGCTTTAAATCATGGAACCCTTTCATCTTTTTCTGGTGATCTGCCAAGCACTAACCTCAATAAGTGTTTTTACTGGTCTGCACAGAGTTCAGCTGTGCTGCCTCTGAAGGATTATGCATGGTGTGAATATTTGGTTATGATAAAAAAAAGCATGGGGTATTTATGCAGACATTTATCGGTCTGTCTTCTTGCTTTCTTCAAGGTAACCCATTATTTAACTGCACTCCTGTAATTGCTGTGAAATACCTGTGTCGTCTGTTTGATGGTGGCTGGCGCTGTAGTGGATGAAAAGGATGAAATGCACAATATTCCTGGGAAAATCCTGCAAACCTTTTTGTTTTTCTTTTTTAATTAACCAATTAGACATCCAGGGAAGTTGTAGCACATCCCTGTTTTCTCCTAGCATGCTGCCCGGGCTTGACACAGATTCTTGCTGACATTAGAGGAAACTTTGATGCTAATAAAACCAAATGTCATCCGTCTCCTGTAGCTTCATGTATCAATCCGAACAGACTTTGAGCCCATGACATTTAAAAGCAATTTATCAGCATGCACATGTAAGAGAGCAGAGGAGCTGAAGAGGATAAGACACTGACAGACAGGAAGGAGCTGTTGCAGTGTGGATCTGCAGGTTTGACGAGGTTGGCACGTCTGAAGTTTCTTCTTATCTTCATTCCCACTGTGACCAACCTCTTGGGCCAATCCGCTATCATCTGATGACGAATTAGCCTTCGGGGGAAAGGGCCAATATTCTTGGGAAACTCCACTTGCCCCGTTTTAGTTTGAAAACTCCTGAGATATGTTTAAGTCAGACAGAAACGATGACGTAGACGCTCACAACCGCTCGCTTATTGGGTCTTTTTTGAGCAGGAATATGGCCCTAGCTGTTTAGTCACTATCCAAGACCCCTTCCGGAATAAAACAGCTGTTGTGCAGTTAAATCGTAAGTCTTACAACACTAAAAGCACAGTTTTTAAAAGAAAATGTAGTAGTATGGATCTACCTCAGTCAATGTGGTCCACGTGTGTGCTCTCAACATGGACTGTTTATGGATCTGTCAAACTAGAAACAGAAACCAGAATGTTCCCAGACCCAGAATCTCATCAGATTCTGTGAGATCAGAGATTACACTGAGACATTCTACATTTGTCTTTTCTTTAAAAAAAAAGAAGATTTTTCAATGCATATATATTTATTTGACCGTGTAAACAGAAGAGTAAAAACGTCAGATTACAGGGTCTCAAACAATTCTGGGTCATTTATGTTGCAGTTAAGAGGAGAAAAGAGGACTAGTCCCTATTATCAGGTGAAGAGCAGACGTTCCTTTGTCTCCTGCTGCGGCCGCTTGTTATTTCAAAAGTACTTTGAGAATTGCATTTTAGAGAATCAAAATGGAAAACTGCTTGACAGCAGGAGGTCAGCCACCAGGCGCAGAACAGGAGACGTCTTCTTTTTCCCAAGAGCTGCCTTTTTTTGGTTGTTGTGATTTGACCCATCGCAAACAACGAACGCAATAAAAAACATGAAAGCAGGAACCCATGCTGTGATGATGCGGGAGAATCCTCTTTGAAATGGAAAGATCTTTTCTGTAATTTGCTGAACTGATGCAGAAGGTTCTAACAGCTTGTCTTTCTGTCCACACAGACATCGACGAATGCTCCTTCGACCGCGCCTGCGACCACTTTTGCGTCAACTCTGCCGGGAGTTTCCAGTGCCTCTGTCACAGAGGCTACGTCCTGTACGGCCTGGCCCACTGTGGAGGTGAGCCAGCACGTCTCTCTCTCTCTCCCCATCACTCTTCCGCCGCATCCTGCACTTCTTTGTTAACCTTCAATCAGTCGCTGTTATGTTTGGCAGGAAAAACACTAGAACACTTGAAAAAGATAATTAATGTTAATTTAAACTTCTTCTGACAGCTTATATGGGACCAGAGCTGAGATTTAACTGATAAATTAAAGTGTTTTATCGACTTGAGATAATTTCGGATTAATTTCCGAAGCATGTTTCAGTCTTTTAATTTGGGTTTTTACTTTATAAGTGTTTTAAGCCATCAAAGTGACTTAAGTGATGCTCCTGTCAGTAACATCATAAGGGTTTGAATGAGTAGTGAAGTAGAGAATGAATGGTAATGATAACTAATCAGCACCACCATGAGGTTAATGGGTTAATGCTTTTGACTTTGAGTGAAATATCCCAACTGGTGTTGATTTGAG